GTTCATCCCCTGAAACCATAGAATATATCTTGCTATGCCAGTGGTAGACACCACCATGATCTCTAGGAATGTTACTGTGAGTTGAGGTTGGGGAAGAGGCCAGGGGAAACAGGTGGTGTCTGTTCGCAAGCCTACTGTTTTGGGTACCTACACCACGGGGTGACTTTAAACTGAGCCCACCTGAAATCAAATCAGTGTGGCCTCAGGTGGAGGTCTTGGGAAAAAAAGGGCATTTCTAGGTGACAGGAGTGTGGGTGAGGTCATGTGGCCCTCACCCAGGCCGTCACCTGGCTGCCACGTACCCAAAAAGATTCATGTTCCGCCGACATGGTTTACTAGCTGATCAGCAGGTGAGTTGATTTGTCTGAGAACGACCTGGAATCCAGGGTGCTCAGCACACATAAGCTTGGATGACCCAAATCATTGATAGCAATCATTTGTACTTGTACAATTTTTTGATTTTATTTTATTTTTATTTTTATTTTATTTTTTATTTTTATTTTGAATAATTATGTCACTGGCTTAACTAGACTTGTTCAGAATTGAGAACTGTCCCTTTTCTGTATTGCTCCGCACACCACCCACTCCGAGTCATCACTTCAATCGTTCACCAGTAAGTCTTGTTCTCATGTCATCAATAGCAAGGTTTATCAACTGCATCATCCACTACCACATCAATGTATGTATCAGATTGTGATATTAAACTGGAGAGCATTGCGGTAAGTTCCTCTTTCTTTCACATCTATCTTTTCTTATCATTGTTGTTGATTGATCATTTATTTTCATCTTACTATTGTCTATTCTTCTTTGTCACCATTGCATCCTTTTCATCATTGTAGGTCACTCTCCTTCTCTCTTCTTGAAGACCCCTAGTTTGATTGTGCTAAGTTCATTCTCTTTTTCATCTTATTTGTTCAAGGATTTCCATACTTGATCATCTTTCATCACAGCTTTACAGATCTTGTTTGCTCAATCGGTATGTGTTTCATCTTCCTCTCTCTTGTACTTCTCAATCACCTGTCACTGACTTCACTGCTTTAACTTTTGATCTATCTTTCCTTTGTTCATAGACCGTTCTTCCCTTCTTTGATCACTGGCTCAATCACCTGTCTATTGAGTAAGTGATGCATTTTGTGCACTTCATGTCTCTGTCAACTCATACTCACTGGCATCATCATCTGTCCTCTTGACACAAAGATGTCCAGCTCATTCAAGTCTGGACTGTTTTCAATTCGATTCCTTTTATCCGAGATTTTTCTTTTTCACCGTTATTTGTCATGTTATTGTATCATAGTACATGTTGTTTAGAAATGCAAAGAGTAGATGATCTATTTTATGTGTAATTTGTGCGCAAAAATAAAGAACCAAGCCCAATTTGAGTAGTTTGGCAATTGAGCAAAATAACCTATCACCCATCATTAGCAGGTAGACAAAAGGGTGAGTTATTTCACCTTGTCATAAGGTGAGATAGATCCCACTGTTTTTGAGTGAGCCATCACCTTGTGGATACATGATCATGTCAGGTGTTGGCCACCTTGAGTTTCACCTGTAGCTCAATCAGTGTGGCCTCAGGTGGAGAGCCCGGGATTTCTTGGCAGTGGCTGATTTCACCTGATGCTCACCTGCCAGCCGCCCCGTGGTGTACTACTACCAATGATGCAGCTTCAAACAGTTGTGTTACTGCTGCTGTACCAGCCAATTCAACAGTTACAGATTCCAGAGGCAATACTTCTCATACTAATCAAAGAGTCTTTGAAACCCGCAAGTTTGATTTCAAGAGATAGTGTTATCACTGTTTTGACATGTAAGTGAGTGATTTCATTTCTCTGTTTCCACCCCTGGTGTTGCTGCAAAATGTGATGCCACAACAAATCGTGTAGCCATCTGGCTGATCCTGCCTCTCAAGAGAGAAGAGCAAAAAATGATTGAAAATGCATTTGATCAGCATTAAATCAGCATTAAATCAGCATTATTCAGCATTAAATGAGCATTTTTGATTAAAAATGCATTAAATGTAATCATTTTTTCCTTGGGAAGATTACCTTTTGCTGGGAGTGTTAGTGGCTCTTGCCACATAATTTGAACCTAAAATGATCACTGTGAAAGGGTACATACCTGAGCCTTTGACAATCTCCAACACTCAATGGCTGAAACAACACCACCTACATATTTGGCTTGGAGACAAATGTCCGAGGAGTCCTTGGAAGGCGCCCCCAAGGAAAAGGGAACCCAAGGGATAATTCCAAGGCACATTTTGGCCCTGGCCATTGCCTCAGATTGGATCCTTGGATGGTGCTTCACTTGGAGTCAAAATCTGAGGACTTTTTGGATTTTTGGCTCTGAGCCAAATATGCTGGGTGTGCAAGACTTAGTACAACAATTATTTTGCTGCTGTACCTATGAAAGAGAGAATGGAAGACACATCACAGTGTTCACTTGACTATGGCACATTGAAGTGCACACAAGGAGAGGTTTGGAAAACAAAACAAAAATCAGTTTCTTTGTTGGAATTTGGGGAAATTCCAACACCCCTTTAGTCTCAGAAAAGGAGATTGGATTTCCTGTGTTTTATGGTCTCACCACATGAGGAACTCAAGAAGGGCTGTCTGTACATGGTGCTTGAGCTGATTGGAAGCTTGGATCCACCCTCTAATAGATGTTTTTTGTGTGAGCATGTTGATGTGACACTCAAGTTTCTACACTGTGCATATGTTGGGGTGACTGCACCAGCAAAAATTTTTGGGGAATGGGTTGTGGCCTTTGATCTATTTGTTGCTTACCTTCAGTACTACACACACCATGACTTTGCAAACAGATTTGTCATCCATCAGAAAATGCTACAGAAATTAAGAAAGAGAACTTTGAGTGGCCAATGGATTTTTCCTACAAAATTTCCATCCATACCACTGTTTTGACCTTCAGATATACCAATGGTAAACTTGCACCAACCCAGCTGTCTGAGATGAAAAGATTGAGCAAGAAGCCTTCAAGAGATACACATTGCTAGAACAACTTCCTACCTGCTTTTGCTGACACCAACCTGTACATTGAAGGTGGAGTGAAGGAACACTGCAATCCTATCACCAGTTGCAATCATATCACCAGTGAAGTTGGTTCCAACATGTATAACACCAAAAATGGTGCAAGTATTCACAATTCTAACCCCTTCACATGCAATACCTCCAACTCAAACACAAATGGCTCAAAAACCAAAACACTAGGTCTTGGAATTATGCTAATCAGCCTGTCTATGATGACTCTGGTGGCATAAATTACAGTAACCGGGAAGATTGTAGTAGTGCTGACCACAAAGCTTGTGGTAGAGTTAAAGGCAGTGCATGGGTTGGAAATGGAGATGGTGGCAGGGAGCATAGTCCCCCCCTGTATATTCAGTGATAACTCCCGGAGAGGCAAGGGTAGCGGTGTGTGGTGTTGCAAGGAATGGTGCAACAATCTTTGGGTTGAACACTGCAACTATAGTAGAGTAAGAACTTTGGAGCAAACAGAAAGGCAAACTAAGCCAAATTGGAACTTACCAATAGATACCTCCCTTCATTTGAAGTTTTTATCATATACTAAAGCAGGCCACTGCCATCTCTGTTACTATGTGCCTCTTAAATAACTTTCCTTCTTGTTCTGTCCTGCTTTATAACAATGACGGCTGTGTTGAAATACACCATAGCTTAAAATACTGTTACAAAGCTTCATTTGATTTCTAAACTTGTTGAGAATATTAAGAAGGATTTCAATAGCAGGAAACCTTGATGACAAATATGGATGAACAAATAAGATAACAAATCACGTAAAAATGAGAGAGAGGAAATAACAACGCCGCTTGTTCTCGTGAAGAAGGTAAAGAGCATGGGATCTGCTGTGCTAAAAACTATGAGTTAGTAAGATTCTTCTCTGATAATATGAGGAGACGCGCATTTCACAAAACTCAGTTCCTCCTCCAAAGCCACTTCGCCTGCCCCCGATTCCTGTAAGTTAAAACGTGTTCCAACTACCTACCATATAAGAATTGAGACGTTGGTGTCAGGTAAAAGAGGCCGTGTGAACAGCTCGCGGCTTAAGGATACATATATGTATAACGATATATGTATATCCATATACTTCGGGTACTGTGGAATCTGGATTCAAGCTCAAAGTTGCAATCTGCTGCAATGCGAGGTTCACTTGCACTTGGCAAGCATGAGTTCTGAAAAAGTTTCCCTGCTTTTCCAGAATTTCCTTCTCCTTTTTCACGCCTGTGTCCACTTCGAAATTCCAACTTCTGACCTGTTCCGACGCCGTCAAGCCTCAAGTTTTGTATTGTCCTGGTTTGAAATGTCTCAATCGGCGGATCATGGCGAGAATGTTCAGAGAATGTACAGACTCTGCATCTCACTGTATATACACATATTCTTTTCCCACTGTTCTGGTATACAATTTTTTAGCCTCGACGAGCTGCGTGATAAATAAAATTCCTTGAGTTGGGTTAAACCCTTCCTCCGTCCACCTATCGAAATTCGATGATCAGAACTGCGTGTCACATTATTCTCAACGAAAGAATTCAAAGCATTCCCATCCATCTGGTCCAGTAGATCGAGTTATCATCAGTACTTCGAGCTGTCTAAGTCCTCTCGATACCGCCGACTATTTTCATCTCCTAGAACTACTGGCAGCCAAAGTTTGCAGCTCTTTCACAACTTTCCCGCAATCTTCAAAGATTCCTGTCAACCCACGAGGTTGCATCAACCGCCAGGGTGAGTTTAAGCCATCCGCTGCCACTATGGAGTCATGCTTTCATGCCGATCTCTCCTCAATCAATGCTCTCAAACACTTGACTTCACCGAGGGAAAGTCGAATAGACGCGTTTAGAAGCCATCCTCTAGCGAACCTGAGACTGATCCGTTGCTTCCACATATTCACTTCTTGCACCGCTTGATCGACAATACCGTAGCCTCGCTGTTTCGCTTAATCTCGTCACCACATCCAATCACACTGCAAATTGATCCGAAATGAGTTCAGATGGCAACTTCCTAATTCCCAGAACTTCTTTACGTTCGCCATCTTTCTTTGGACCGGTGACTTTGGCTGCAGCACTTGTGTCAGTTTGACCTCTCGGATTTTTCAAAATCAGCTGATAGCTTCGGTACCTCAGTTGAGGTAGCTCGTCGGACCTTCATATTCTGCATTTGTGGCATAGATTTGCTGATATTTGGGAATAATTACCATTACAAACAGTTTGGCATCCTCTTTCACCGCACCGTTTGATGAAGGTGAAGACTCGATTTTCATCTTCAACTCAAGCCGCCAGCTTGATGAGTTCCCATTTTAGCAAAGTCGCATGTTCAAGTGCTGATTAGAGGTTTTGTCTTTATCCTATATTGTGAAGATTTCTCGATCGTAAAATTGGCAGACCCAACTTTCAAAGGAACCGTGGGACTGTGGGGCGCTTGTACAAGGTCAGCTCCCCTCCTGGCTCATCGGTCTCATCCGCATATGTCCTAACTTTCTGTTCGCGCATCTTCCGCCGGGGCTGCACGTTTGATGTAGTTATCACACCGAGAATGCGACAACAGCAAACCCCAACGCAACACTGACCGGAAATGCAACTATTGACGCCATGATTCATAAACAAGGAAAACATGAAGGCTGCTCTCCTAGTGGCTTTGGCTGGAGTTTCAGTGAGTTTATTTTGATCGTTTGAACCCCGCACCTTCTAAGCGCTGACTGCGCCGAATATGTGATACTGTTTGTAGGCCTACCAGTGAATAGCACTGGACTGACAAGTATGCCATTGCCTGATGGCAATGTTGGCTTCAACGTCGACCCGAGCACCGAAAACACCGCCGACGTCCAATGGGTCGAAGTGATGTCCAAGAGTGACTCTACGATGTTGATCGTTCATCTCGCTGGTCGGTTGAAAACTTATTTCGCGCGGAGTGTTGTTACAGTGACTAACATTGCCTGAAATTTGAAAGCTGGTGTCTGTTCAACACTGGGCCTTCTCTTGCTCCTTGTTCCGTACAAGTCTATGGAAGGCTCGGCACCTAGCTTGGCCCGGTTCCTCAAGGTTGGATCAATGAGTCTCCTACTTGTTTCGGTTGGTTGCGTACTCGCGCTAGTCAGCTTTGCGGTCGACCTCTTTGTCGCCCTTCGTGTCCGCAACAACATCAACGCCATTGGGAATGGTGCGTTGTATTCATGCCCACTCTTACACCACTCTGTATCCTAGAATTTTATTGACATGTCTTATCATTCTCCTGTTGAACATCTTGGTTTTGTTGGTCCTTCAGGAGGTGGTGTTCAGGCCGGTCTCGGAAACATGCCATGGTTTGCCATCGCTGGCGTGATTCTAACTGTGCCTTCAATCTGGTCCACACGAGGGCAATTAGGTGACAAGCGGTGAACGCACTTTCGAAGTCGGACTGGATATAATGAAGCTCCGACTCGGACACCGCGTTATGACTATTACAACCGCCTTTTATCTTCTCTACTAATTTCCGCTGCTCGGGGCATGCAGGCTTATCGCAATCCAATGCGCAACAAACATCTGTGATCATTCGAATAATTTCTCTCAATTGAACACCACCCGATATTGTTTTACACTTTCTTGAATGTCACTTTCTTGAATGTCACTTTGCTTGAGTCACACGTATCACTCTCTCTTGTATTTATGTCTTTCTTCGTCGCACACACTCATTTGTCACAATCAATCACAATCCGCTTCCCTCTTTTCTTGTCTCTTCATCGTTGAATAAGACCCTTGCCAAGACTTTCATCCTGTCTGTAAGAGCATATACTCTCAAGCAGTATATTTTCATAACTGAAGAGTGTTATCATACTATCTGCAAAGGTGGTAATTAAATATAAGTGTAGTCTGTAGAGACTGTTCAAGTGGAGTAAAGCTTGGATGACTCGTCATCAAGTTTCAGAAGTGGATCATGTCCAGTGGTTGTAAGGGCAAGACCTGCTCACTTTAGTATTTGTACTTCGATAGAAGTCTTCACTGAGGATGAGTATAGGCAATTGGCAAGGGGCAAAAGCTCCAAAACTAATCAAAAGACCCCGCTATCTATCCAAACAATCCCTACAACTAGCTCCAGCCGGAAGGTATTGGTGCGTCAGACTCGACTAACTAACCTGATAAGACAAGAAAGTGGAAATGGTAATGTGAATAAGAGAAATGTGATAATCACTCACCTAGCTCCAGCCAAAATGTATTGGTGAAGAAGAATATCTTTGTGGAGCTAGGGTGAAATCCTTTTCATATCAAAGAATAAAACAGATTTATCACATTTTCTAATTTATCAATACTTCTGCTTTATCAAGAAAGCCAACATTACTGTTTAATCACATCAAGGAGAAGTGCAAGTGTGTATCAAAGGAAGATAGATCAACACACATTCAATACAATCACAACAACAACAAAAGTGAAACCCCATCCAATGACACCAAGGATCAGGCGGTCTCCAATACAAATCAGCCACTCATACAACCCCAATTTGTTCACAACGTTACAAAGGAATCACTTCATCATTTCGGTGGCACCTCAAAGGGAAAGACAGATCAGCTACACAAACTGCTTCTCAAAGCTTTGATATCTGGCCGTATCCCCTTTTGCTTCCTTCAAAATAATACTTTCAAGAATATCAAGAACAGTTTTGTGTCACAACATACAAGATCCCATCCCGTTATATCATGATGGATAGAATCCTTCCACATTTACATGCCAAGCACAAGATCTTTGTTCAATCACAGTTACGCCAGCAGACAAACTTGACTATATCTCTTGATCACTGGACCAATTGCTTGAGGAACAGTATCTACGCTGTTCTTGTACTACGCGGAACTCAAATCAAACAAATCTTAGATGTCCTTGATCTTCATCAAGACCGCCATACCTCTGAAAACATCTGGACTGCCTTGAAAAAATCTCTGGTCAAGAAAAGTATTGACTTGCAGCAAATTAGTGCTGTTGTATCAGACTTGCCATCAGTCATGGTCAAATTCAGGGTTTGTTTTGTTTTCTTTACCTTTTGTATATGTATATAACAAATTGATGACTGATAACTTGTTTCTGATCTGTCAACAGAAACTTCTTCTTGAGGCTCACCCGCATATCTTTGGCTTAGCATGCTGCCTTCACGCCATCAATCTTATCGTAAAGGGTTTCCTTGGACACCCTCTCATGAAGGACGTTGTGGCTAATAACAAAGCCCTTGTGAACTGTTTCACATCCTCAGCATTTTGGGCCAAGCACCTCCAGAAATGGAGGAAGCAAGAGAAAGTCACACATGGCCTACAGACAACATGTGAGACCCGTTGGTTTTCCATGGCCAAGGTGTGCCTATGTGTTGAGGAGCACTAGCTCGGATTCTTCCAATTTGTAGCAATGCTGGATGATCAAAGCATTGATACACCTGCAATTAACAAGAATGTCCGATAAATTGTTGATAATTGTGATCACCCCACCTCTAATCAAGTTTTGGTCAAAGTCCTTTGACCCATTGTTGATGTGATTGCTCAATTGGAATCTGCAAGTACAACTGTTGGAGATGTTTGCTTGAGATTTCTAATGTATACTGTAGACTTAGAAAGATTGATCTACATATGTACCCACACTTCACTAGTTTCAAGCAGCACTGCTTGAATGTCTTGCATCAGCAATCAAAAATGTACAAAGCCAATATCTATATCATCGGGTTCTTTTTAAATCCATCATGTTGTCAAATAGCAGCCTCTTGCGAGTTCTCTATTGAAAAAATCACCCGGATGATTGTCAATGTTGCCTGGTCTTGGGGATTCAACAAACCAGATGCCTTAAGTCTCAAAGAACAAGTTCCTATTATAGTGGAAATGATATATTTCCAACCTTTAAAAAAGGTAAAGTTTTTACAAATCTTCAATTGGGTAGTATAGATCACTGATCATCTCACATCCAATAGATGAAAAACCATTGGACTACTGGCTTTGAGTCACAATATTGCCACATACAAATCGGTTGAAGACAATTCCAATAAGCATCCTTGAGCTTGTGGTGCATGCAGGTGGTGTTGAAGGTCTCTTCTCAGATATGACAGGTACAAAGACTAAGAATTGTAATTGGATGGACCCTGATACAATAAGGATGATCTCACAGATTGGTATGGGACTTTATTCCAAGCTATGCCCTTCAAAGAAAAGTATCTTGCTAGCACCCAGTCAAGATCAGGCGGCTGAAAGCAACTCAGATAACGATTTTGATGGACTTGATGCTCTCAAAGAATTTGAAGCTGGGATCTACCCAATCAACATGGTTGATGTCAGGGTGGCTACTACTTTAGAGAGTCAAGTAGTCTAGTCATTACTTGATTCAGAGTCCTGACAAGGGATTCCGCTGGTTACGCGGGATATCCAGTATATCTTATCCTAAAGTGAGGATTATGATCATAACAAATGTGGGTAAACCACAAGCTCTTCACGGTGTTTCAAAGAAACACAATTCTGAGGCCCACTGTAAGTTAGCACATGTAAGTTGGTCAACCTTTAGGCCTGGTTATAATCTCTGAGATACAAGATCTAGAGTAGCCTGCGTCCAAAGACTAACAGGGATCTTGCCAACTTTGCGTTGCAAGAACTGAGTAGTGACCAAGTAGATCCACGTAGCTTTTAGGTACGTAGAAAGGTTCTGGATTTAAATCTGTAACATTTCATAATCAAAGCTATTAGCCGGAAAGGAAGAATACAATGGGACTATTTTGGCCGGAAAGTAGACCTGCGATGGGACTAATAAGATACTTGGAGTAGCAAAAAGTACGGATTATAGTTCAAGAGACTAAAAAGGACAAAGCGACGATTCTTTGACTTTAAGCAAAAAGGTGAAATGGAACTGAGATTTATTTACAAGCGTAACTAATCTTAGCTGGACTTCGGAACAGATGTAGGTCTGAAATATTGGGTTAAAGTGGGAGAAGGTGAGTCCCTTCATCTCTTGGAGAGACTCTCCTCTATTTATATTGCTTTTGCTCCGATTTACGGGAGAAATCGGAGATACCTTTGCTTGGCGTATTCTTCTTAGTGCGTAAGTTTTAATTTAGACGTCTTCTCTACATATACGTGACAATTTCTATTTAGCTCTCGATACTTGTCTCACTGGTTATTGAAATGCCAACAGAAGATTCTATGTAATCAATTTATTCTTGAAGATGATTGATTTGTTTGAATTGATTTCTTCTCAAACGTGATAGAACATGATTATATAAGTTCAGAAGTTACTTGGTTCATTTTAATCACCTCATTTCTATGGTGCCAAGGTGAGCAGTATTCATTAGACTAATACATGTGGTTATTTGACATGTCCTTATTCAGAAGAGCTTGTTGGAAATTGGAATCATGTGTTTATCAAAAGCATTCGAATTTCTTCTTTACATACCAAGGTAATTATCTTTTATGTTTGGAACTTGGAAGGCTTTGAGATGACTGCTGAGCTTGGTACTGTTTAATATGTCTTCGTATTAGACCACATATAAGCAATGGAATGTTTTCAGTCAAAGCTATCCTAGATTACAAACAAGTGTAGTACTTATGGCTCTTTGATCAGTGCAAAGAGCTCGAGTGCTGACAGTTGATCAAATTGAAGGCCTTCTTGACCCCACTCTTGGGCTAGAAGAAGGTTACATCAATAGCCCTTTTGACTTATCTAACTTTGAAGATAGAACAAATAGTGCTGATGAGCCTCCAAATTGCAACATCATTATTATTGATGACCCTTCAAACTCATGGGACCTAGAAGATATCTTTTAAACATTGTCTTAGCCTTGTTGTATTCAAAACATACTCCTGTTGACCTGAAACTGCTTTCCTGAAATCCCAGCTTGCTACTGAGCATCACAATCACTGTTTTTGAAACAATTGTTCCCTTTCCTTCATTTTTGTTTCATTTTTTATGTACTCAGATGGCACACCTACAGCTGTCTGCCTTTTGGGCACGCCTAGGCTCAGGTAAGTCTTGTCCAGGCGTGCCTCACGTTGTCAAAACTGCGCCCATTACCTGACTTACATCCCGCCCCTCCTAAAAAACTAATTAATTTGTAACCAGAAAGAAAGCAAGAAAAAAATTGGCATAACTTGCCCTGCTAAAAGTTGGCATGACTCCCCCTGAGAAAGGAGAAAAAGAAAAAAAAGGTTCATAACTAAATAACCCTAAAGATTTGTCACAATTCTTGTCATGTTGTGTTGTTGATTGATTTGTTACTGAAAGAAATTGGACAGACACCTAGTGAAAAGGTAGTGCTCACACACGTGTGGCCAAGGTAATGTTTCTCAAAACAAGGGGGAAAGGTAGGAACCCTGGTGGTGCATACTCATGGAAGGAACTTACTTTCAGTCTCCTGAGTTTGTATCATCCACCTCTGTCCAACAATAACTCTTCAATTTTGAGATGTGAAATACCCAATGCAACTTGTTGCCTTCTTGCAGTTGTAATCAAAAGTTTTGTCTGTCATCAAGGCAGTCCTTGACTTGATGGGGCCCGTCATGATGTGGTTGTAGCTTTGAAGTGGGTTGTCTGTTGCCTCCTACCACCTGTTGCCAATAACAACTATCAATCAGCACCCAGTCCCCTTTTTCCAATGTTACATCTGCTTGTTGACAGCTATTATAATGCACTGCTTGGTCAATACGACTAGACCATAACCAATCTCTATACTCTGCTCACATGATTTGTTGCTTTGTCAGCCATTTTTGTACACCAACTCCTACCTGATTGATTGCATTACTGATTGGGAAAAGACAAGGTTGTCAGCCCAGAACAAATTGAAACAGCAAAATCCCCATTGCAATGTTGACTGCTGATTTGATTGCATATTCCACTGCTGGTAGTGCTTTCAACCACCATCCATGTCAGTTTTCATGACAAGATGCCGCAGTATTTGCGCAATTGTTTTGTTAGATTTTTCACTGTGTCCGTCAGCCTATGGGTGATAAGCAGTGGTGAAGTTCACCTTAATGTGGAGCAAAGCATTCAACTCCTGCCACAGCTTTGAGCTCCATGTTTTATCTTGGTCCCCAATCACAGTCTTTGGGGCTCCAAAGATTGCAAGCCATGCACCAAAAAGCTGTTGCACTGTTTTCTCCACTGTGTCTGTCTGACTTGCCAGGATTGCTTGATTGGATCATGTGAGTTGTCATGTATAACTCAGGATCATATTGCAACCTTGCGTCTTGGGGAATGGGCCCATGAAATCCAAGCAAATATCTTCCATCAGATTTCTTGGGACGTCCGTCAACTGCAGACATCACAAAGGAAGAGTTGTGCTAGCTTTGGTGCGTTGGCAATCATCACAGCTTGCAACAATTTTTTTTACTAGGTCTGGTGCCTCAGTTTTTTCCCCACTTTGCTATTTGGTTGGTACAATGGTGATGCTCTTACCAATGTAGATTGGAACCATCAAAGACATTCAACAAGCTTAACAATTGATCTGTTCTATAAAAATAACCCACCACACTAAAAGTGCATTGACTCAAACAATTTAAAAAAACGAAAGTGATTCAACTATAAAGTACCTCCAATCCAATACCAAAACAAAAAAACAATAAATAAGTGAAAAATAATGATTTACGATATTTACAAGACAAACGAATAAAAACAAATCAACAATGGTTTACAAAAAATGAGAGAAGAGATAAAGAGAGCAATCCATATCAAAATAAAATTGAAACCAAAGACACAAATACTTCTTTTTCTTCTGATTCCAATCAAGCTCTTCCTCCTCCAAAGAAAAAACCTCTAGACTCTTATTAACTTAACGTGAACAGATTATCCTCGTCATTACCCCGAGCCATATCAGCAGCCACTCCATCAAACTCGTCCTCATCCAAATCTTGTAGAAATAGCTCGTCCTCCGGCCTCAATCGCCATCCGATATTGGATTCTCCGCTCAATGTACCAAGAGAGATGCGATTGTGAACCGAATTGATCCAATCATCCTCCTCCTCATCTTCATCCCCAGTCCGACTTGCAAGGATAGTTGAAGCAGGTGATCCAGCACGACCATTCTCATTCTCTTCTAACTGCATCCCATGATCAGATAAGTGCATCTCTTCCTCTTCCTCTTCATTTTCCTCTTCTGCCACTTCATCCATGCCATTTCCCTCAGAAGGCTGGAATCTATATCGTTCCAACTCAGCAAACTGACTCGATACCTCTTCGTAGTTGTTTTGTTCGGTTGAATCATCAGCCCTCCACTGATTCTCACTCTGAAGTGACAGCTTAGAGCCAGATCTGGCCAATGAGCCACTCCGTCTAGGAATCCTGCTAGCCTTCAACACGCTGCCAGTCTTCTCTCCTGCCACCCGAAGATCGACCACCGCACGTTTCAACTCGTTTGCCATGGCATTCGCTCTAATCTCTAATCTCGAATTCTCAACCTCCAGCATTTCAACCCTTTCTCTCAACACTTCTTCTCCTCCTCGTGAGTCCGACTTGAATTCTTGTTCTGGACTGTTCAACTCACTTTCACAGAGCTGACGTAGTTGATCACACATCTCACGTGACTCGGTTAAAGCATCCAAGAGTGCTTGCTTTTCGATTCCGAACCGCCGCGTCGCACTATCTAGCTCAGACGCCAGCTTTGATGCAATGAGATAAACATCCAACTTGGACATTGTTCGCACCTCTGCCAAACTTGGTAAACTGATCGAGGTGCTTATGGTAGTAGCCGTGGATGACAACGAAGGGGATGGTGCATTAGCATCAACATAGCTCGATTGAACGCTGCTCGGTCGTTGATCCAAAGACGATACAGCAGAGGCGGAGGTGTCTTGTCGGTTATATGACGCTGAGGGAAGAAGTCCGCGACCGCTGACTGGAGGACGAAATTTAGACCGCGATGCAGATGACGAAGGTACGTCCGTGACCCAGGAACCATGCTTCTGACGTGGCTGCTGAGATTCGGGACTAAAGAGGGAATGTATGCTTGGTTGTTGAGATGGTACAGCTGTAAGAGGACTTCCGAGAGAGCTGTACATGGAGTTCTTTCGATCGTGGTGATTGCTGCCAAAGGGGAGTGTGCCTCTTGATAGAGTGGGTGGTGAGGAAGGTCGTCGTGGTGACAGAGTGCGGTGAGCTGCTGAAGAAGTAGAAAAGCTCGATATACTCCGCTGTGCAGTATGTGCTCGAGCTGCGCTTTGAGAATCCCCAACCTGTTGCCAATGTCGCCCGGCCTTGCTACGAAGCTGAGGTTGAGGTCGAGTCGCAAGCGGAGGTCGACCGGGAGGCTCAGGAAAAGAGTCATTGGAGCATGCCCAGGGAGGAGAGGATTCCGGAGTACCAAAGCGCTCGATTGAAGCCTGTGAGGCATGGGACGGCTGACTACGATGATGAGCTGGCTTGAAAGCCTCGTCGACGTTCTCCTGCTTCTCGACCTCAAACTCTGAAAGCGTAATACCAGAGCGAGAGGAAGCAATGGAAAGACGCTCAATGAGCTCATGTCGAGCCGAGGACATGTTCCGATCTCGAACGTAGGAAAGGTCGTGGCGACCGGAGAGAGATGCATCACGAGATCTAGTACGTAGGCCGGTAAGAGACCTAGTGGAATTGGTGAGGGACTTGGCGGAGGTAGTGACTAGAGACGACTGTGTGGACGTGCTAGCACAGAGCTTCGGGGACATCACGTTTGGCGATGAGCCAGCCCTGGAGGATCGAGTTATCGAACTTTGAAGATTGGGACTAGATGATGACGTTGTGTTCCATGAAGGTGAATAATCAGCAAGAGAAAACAATTTAGCTTCCACAGATAAGAAAGGGAAAGGGGGCGAGGGTACTTACGAGAGAAGTGCACAGAGAGAAGCTTGAATTTCGGGCAAGCTTGAAGTGTCAGAATCAGATTTGGGAGAAAAAGAGGCGTTGACAGCGGCGTCAACAGAGTGACGCTTGGATGTAGTACTACCATCACTGCAAAATCCAAATGAAAGGCAGATGTGTTTGGAATGTCAGATGATCATGCAAGGGATTGATATGACAAGGGTGGAATCAAACAAACTCAGGTGAGATGGGTCGTGTAGGAAGCAGTACACCTGAGAAGCGCTTCTTGAGATGAGAAGTAGGAGGATTGGAAAGCGCAGGAGACGGAGGTAATTGCTGCTGTTGCTTCAACCCATCGACTTGAAGTTGTAAACCTAGAATGATTTTGCGAGCTTCAGCAAGATCTGCAGAGTCATGACGTGATTTTGGGATGGTAGAGCCAAAAGGGGACGCAAGTTGAATGGGATGAGATTGAGGAGGAGATTTAGGTTGTGCAAGAATTGAAGGTGATGAAGAGGCGACTATGGAGGATGAGATGGTTTCGTTAAGAGTGGCAGGCGAGGAAACGGGTAAAGAGACAGGAGTCGGAGACGATTCAATGGATTGACAACCATCGATTTGTGCAGTGTTAATGTCGCAAGTGACGGTGCTGGGATCAAGAGCGGTATTAGTGTCTGAAATGGAGATGATAGTATCAACAGTAGTTTGAGTATCAGAGACGGGGATGGTAGTATCAACAGCAGTGATGGTATTGGAATTGTCGGTAATGCTCTCAACAACAGGGGTTGCAGCGATAGCATGAACGGCGATGAGAGGCTCCGAAGCGGTGGTGACAGTGTCAAGAGCCGAATTGGGTTCGGAAGTGGTGGTACTGCTGATCGGGGTGATTTTGATTGCATTGGGTGAGATGAAAGTGGGTAAAGCCGGATAAGGTCTAGAAGGTCGGCTCTGTTGAGTGAAAGGACGAGGTTCGAGTGAGGAGGGAGGAAGATGAACCACTTTGGGTAATGAAGGAGTTGAGCGAACTTTATAAATGCAGAAGAGTCAGTTTTTGAGTTGATGATGTGGAAGAAAAGTAAAAACACAAACTAAAGGTTGAACCATGAGGAGAAGGTAACTTGTTATTAGTAATTTGAAGTACTTGATCGGTCTGTGAGTTTGCTGAAGTAGACGGTTTGGCTGAGGGTGATAAGATGGTGTTTAGATGAGTTAAGTTTGTGAGAGATGGAGAAGATAATGGTAGAATGTGATGATCAAGTTTAAGGATCTTAGGACCTGTTGTAGTGATAGTAGTGGGTGATCGAGCTTGAGAAGGAAGGCCAGGTAAAGAAGTTCTAGAATTATTGGCTTTTAATCTTGGTATGTTGACTTTAGATTTTGAATAATGTGAGTTTTGATGATTCATCGGTAGTGGTGGTGGTGGTGGTGATTGTTGTTGTGATAGTGAAACTCGATTGAATGATAAATTAGAGATTGAATGACTATCACTTGAGCCAGTTTGATGGACGAACATGAAATCATGAAATTGATCAGATTCGACTTGAGAAGAGTCTCTATGCTGAGGATGTAATTGATGTGGTTGATGCTGATCCTGATTCTGATGTGGTTGCTGATGATTATGATTATGATTATTAAATAGTTTAGATTTGATCATAGAACGAAGTGAAGAATGATTTTGGAGTTGATGATGTTGTGATTGATCCATGATGATTGAAAGAAAATGCTGAGGAAAAAGGTGGTCGATTGATGTTTGCTGAATGAGAAATCTGGAATGCTTCTATGTGAGATCGATCGATTGGAGTGCACAAGGCTACTCCTTCATCAGTTGTTATTGAGAAAATCTGAAAATCTAGTCATCGATTTGTGCAGAAGAGTAAGTAAATGAGTTGAGAATATCTGAAGAGAGTATTCAGCAGGAAGGAGTAATCAGTAAGGCATTCAGGAAGAATCAGTCAAGACTCCTCATTCTAATTCTCGTATTCACGTAATTATTGCATTTCAATTAAGTACAACCACTCACTCTCCTACATCGCATTAAAACCTTCACAGAAAAGCAAGGGCCGTTCTTTGATTCTTTTTGGGTAGTCTCGAAGAAATCTATGTGTATGTGCGAAATTCGAATCTTCAAATTCATTTCAATCCTTCAGTTATTTTTAAGCGTGAGTTTCTTCTTCTGAGTTCTTCTCAAATTCAATCCTTCATCAAGATAGATTTTACCACATTTCTCCGATCAAGCTCTGGTGATTTTCATACTCTTCCTACTTAGTTCAACTTCCTATGCTTTCCAGCATAATCTCGGTTAGGTGTCCAAAACCGACTCTCCAGATGAACAAGAACTTTTCTTGAGCAGCGGTCCCTCGACTTAAGATGGGTGAAGTGCTGGAATGCAGCAAAAGAAAACACTCAAGGAGAGTTACTTACTAAATCCAGCCTATAAAAAATTTGCACATTCTGTTTTTAGCTCAATTTGCCACATGAAAAGTGATACAACTCTACAAAGCAGGAGGTTTTTTATGAATAAAAGAATGTGAGAAATAACAACAACAACATAAATACAATATCAACAAATATTATTGATGAAAAGGAGCTTCATGTTTCTACAGCTGTTTCGAGAAAAAATGATGTCGTCCTTGTTTTTTTATTTTTTTCATTTTAAAGTTGCACTAAAGATTGAAAAAGCACCAGAGGTTGTGGATTGTGGATACAAAGGAAGCAATGATTGGTGATCTTTGCACCCTTGAAAAAGGTGATTACAGCTCTCATGTAGAGTCTACGTGAGTGTTTTTGATTGCAACTTTAAAGTAAATAAATAAATAAACAAGGAGGACAACATTTTTTCTCAAAACAGCTGTAGTTTAAAATGTAATACCAATGAATCAATAACTTGGGAATCAGTGGCACAGGTCTGTAGCTTGTGACATTGCTACCATGAAAGCTGTGAGGCTATTTTTGCAATTTTTCCCAATTGCGAGTGTCAGACCTGATATGGGAAAAAGAATTGCTAAATAATCAAGAGTGCTGAGGGTGGCCACTCAAGGCACCAACTTCTCCACTGGATTAGTCCCCACTCTGCAAACTTAAATAAGTCCTACCTGCTTGAGCTGTACTGGCCAGCCCAAATGAAGGACTTGCACATAAAGTCAAAAAGTTGGCATGAGATCTGTTGGGGGTTTTTGCCAAAATCTAGCCACCTTAGAGCACCCACTATGGGTGCAGTAACAAGGTGATTTAGTGTTACCGTAACACTCAAATCCAGACAGGTCCACTATGGACCTGTTTTACACTTGCGGTCTGTACTGCTGTGTTAAATCTTGCACCCTGTGTGCTCAGATCTATGCAAGCCTACAACATGATTTATTGTAGGATAATTGGTCAACAACTGCAGTTTTCAAAACCCCAAACTTCAAAACATCACAATTCATGACTTCAAACCTCAAAGCTTGAGGGCACGTTTGGTACAACTTATTTCAAGCTACTTATGTCGAAATTTGACTTTCATAAGTCGGATTTCAAAAAGTCCGTTTGGCACCAACTTTTTGGAACTTTTCAAAGCTACTTATGGGACCCATAAGTAGCTTATCTTGCTACTTATAATAAAGAGCTAATGACCTCATTATTTTTTCAATAAGCTACTTTTGTGACCCAAAATCTCGTTTTTTTCCTTTTTTTTCAAATCGTACAAGTTCCATCTTTCATATCCACACTAGTTCAACTCACATCAACGTTGTTGTAAAAAAGAAATCTCGATCCACTCACTTATATTTTTCAAAATGTACATGTCGCATCTTCTATACCCCTCTCCTATCTTTGAATCACTTCAACGTTGTTGTCCAATATCAATGATGATACTCATTTCACATCTCTCATCTTTAAACACCATGTCCAAAAGCCATGATAAGGAAACGATCTAATCCAATGTCATCAAAACATCTAGAAAAGTAGTTGAACATATTCGGATTTACAAGTCAAACAACTTCTATGATTCTTTGTGAAACATTTTCCAATTTACACAATATATCGATCCAGGAATTGATTGAATCTGTAGACAAAACATTGTTTGTAAAAAAGTAAAGCAATTGGTGGTTCTGGAACTAGGATGAAATGAAGAAAAAGTGAACCTTGAAGAGTTGGAACACTCAACCAGAGTTTGGCTGCCAAACGAAATTCAGCTTTTATGGACTTTTAAGTTGACTTTTTGATGAAAGTCAACTTAAAACAAAAATCAACTTTCCGGGGTCGGAAAGTTCGTACCTTTTCAAAGGTGCAAAATTTTGTAAGCTGTACCAAACGTGCCCTGAGCCTCAACACCTCAACTTCAAAGTTCAAATTTCAAAAACCTTCCTCATCACCACTGCCAACATAGATGCCTCGGATCCCCCAATCCAAGGTATTGTTGGATGCAAATCCTCGGACAGATCTTATCCAAGGTTTCTGTCCAAGGTATCATTATGCGCCAAAGATTACCTCCAATCAAAACCTTGGAAAGCTCCTGTCCAAGGTCTTGAGTCCAAGAATCTTGGATTTCCCAATCCAAGGTCCATATGTGAAAATGTCCAAGTGATTTTGAACATGCTCTATAATAGATAACCTGATAGTAAGTGCTAAGTGTTAGATGTAACAGCTACCACAATCCTGCTAATTAGGATTGGCGCTGACCTATGATGGTTCAGTAGAAGATTAAGTGAAAGGGGAGCGATAATGAGCTCTAGTTGATCTAAGAGATGAAAAGTTCTCCTCCCAAAAATTAGGATTTTTATTCACCTGATAATAAGTGCTAGGTGTTAGATGGAACAGCTACCATGATCCTGCTATTAAGGATTGGGGCTGACCTACAAGTTACAACACAAAAAACAACAACAAAAAGAATAAGAGAAAACATAAGTCTTGTATGAGTGATTATCACAAACTTTATGGTAAGTACCTATAATGGTTCAGTAGAAGATTAAGTGAAAGTAGAGCAATAATGAGCTCTAGTTGATCTAAGAGATGAAAACTTGAAACATATATCATATTAGATCAAACACATTTAGACTTAGAAAGTTATAATCAAAATGAAATAGTTACATACGTTCTCTTCCCAACAATGAGGAAAGAGAAACGGTATGATTTTAGCAACACAACCTCTATATCTCACTCTCAATCCAAAATGGAAAATTAATTTGCCTATTACATCATTCTACGTCATCCTACTTGAATCTCTTTCATTTCATTTTTGTGTAATAACTTGTAACATCTTTCATCACCTTTCACTCATACGGATTTCACTTGCTAATGTCGATTGAACATCCACCCCCCCCCAATCAACAGTTTTGAAACTGCCTCCTTATTGCAAAGCTTGTAGGCCAATTCTATCCCTGAAGTTTGGAAAGGCCCTGGATAAAGTGGTTTAGTAAGAATATCCACTAACATGTCTTCTGAATCTACATGTACTAAATCACAAATCACTTCATTAACCTTCTCACGTAACCAGTGGAATTGTATTTTGATTGCTTTCGTCCGGCCATGTAACACTGAGTTCCTTGAAAGATCTATGGCACTCAAACTATTGCAGTTTAGACTATGAGGTAAGCGTTGAGACATGCCAATAGATTCTAGTAACAAATTCAACCAGCTAACATCATCTCCTGCCTTGTTCTCCGCTCTGTACTCAGCTTCTGTAGATGACTTTGCTACTGTCTGTTGTAGTCTACTCCTCCAACTTATTGCACCACCAGCCAACAAAAACACATAGCCCATTGTGGACCTTCTTATACTTTTATCACCCGCCCAGTCAGCATCTGCAAAATAAGTAGGAACTGTGTAAGTATGGTTGCTCTTGATTTGTTTTGGTAAGTCAGGGGTGAAATTGTAATGTAAGCCATAATCAATAGTTCCTTTTAAATAGTGTAATACATGTTGAAAAGCGGCCCAATGATGTTTGTTGGGAGTCTCCAAATGTTGAGATAAGCAGCCCACCACGTACGCAATGTCCGGTCAAGTGCATCAAGACAAATACATTAAGCTGCTGACACCACTTCAATAAGGAAGATTCAGTTTTGCAAAGTTGAGTACTTCTTCAGTCGTTGATTTTTGAAGCTTTAGACCACCAGGAAAAGGTGTGGAGGCTGATCTACAATCGGACATACCGAACCTTTCCAAGAGAGATCTTGTCATGGATTCTTGATATAAAAAATAATGGTGTGTGTTCTTTTGTACAATTTGGATACCAACTACTGATGTCAAAATGCCTGAATCTTCCATAGACCAAAAACTCTTGATTTCTTCCTTGAAAGCTTTGATGGCATTCCCGCTTATTGCTAAATCATCAACATGTAAGCAAAATATGCAGATCTTTTCACCTCATACCACAAGGACCGCCAGATCCCCCCTCGACGTCGAGGGGGGTTGACATCCTTGCAAATGTTTTGCAAATGTGTCCAATCCTACCCGCCTTTGTGTGTCCTAGCCTTAGGCAGCGCTTAGGCAAAAATTCCATGATCAGAGGCCTGACCATCTTTGAGCTCTCAGCTCGGGCTGAACTCCTCATTCAACAATTCCGCTCAGAGAACTGGATGAGCCTATCTGGAAAACTGAACTTTGACATTTCATGCGGGAAGATTTCAACATACCTCCAAGAACCCATATGTAGTATGTATCATATGCAAGACATCTTGT